TGTCAATTTGACTTAGCAATAAATGTCTTCAAGTTCCATCCATATTTTTTTAAATGACATGATTTAACTTATTTTAAAAAAAAGTCTGTGGGCCTCCCTGGTGGCGCAAGAGGTTAAGTCTCCGCATTATCAAGCTATCATCAGCCACTGTAACAGGAGTTCGATCCCTGGCCAGGGAGCTACACACCTGGCTCAGCAGACCTCTCCTGATTCACCTGCTGCTCCACTCAGCAGTGTATTTCAGTCAGTCTGCCTGTTCTGTTCCCCATTCTGTCTCTGGTGATTCCTCTCAGCCCTCCACCCCCGCACCTCGGGCTTACATCCCACCTCTTGTATGTACACATAAATAACATAAATCTTTAAAAAAATCTTAGTACTATATTTTTATGTGTGTTTGTGTTTGCGTAATTTTGCTCTATTTCTTTCAATGTATCTCTGTTCCTGTCTCTCTCTTCAAATGGTGGAATATCCACTATGCTTCTGTTGCTTTCCTCATAGAGTTGGTTAGTTCTTCCAGTTTTTTTTTTTAATTTTTCTCTTTTTTCTTCTAGTTCAGTCCATTATTCTTTATTAGTGTGGGGTCACTGATTTGATTTTCTCTTTGGTCTATTCCGCTCCAATAGCTTCTCCAGGAGTGAGTAACTTCTCTGCTGATCTTTTTACAGTCCTCATCTCTATGATGTTAATTTAAGGCTTCAATTTCTATTTTCTTTTCACTGATTTTATTTTCCAAGTCATTCATTTATTGTTCTGAATTTTGTTTTATCTTTTTTGATTCACTTTTCTGTGTTTTCTCCATCTCCTTGACTTTCTTTTTTCTTTTTTTTTAAGGATTTATTTATTTATTTGTTTGTTTGTTTGTTTATTTATTTATTTATACAAGCACTGGGGACAGTCAGAAGCACGAGAGGGTGAGAGAATTCACCAGAGACAGAGTGGGGAGCAGAGCAGGCAGAAGGACTGAAGTACACTGCTGAGGGGAGCAGCGGGCAGCAGGAGAGGTCTGCGCACCATGTGGGACCCTCCTCTGGTGGCAGAAAGCAGCCAGGGATGGAACCTGCACCGCAGGGCTGCGGGCAGCTTCGCAACCCAGCGCTCAACCGCTGCACCACCGGGGAGGCCCACTTCTGCCCATTTTTTGACAGGGTTATTTTCTTTATTGTTGTTGAGTCTCATCAGCTCTTTGCAGATTTTTGTGATCAGTCCTTTATCATTAGTGTTCGGTGCAAAAATGTTCTCCCAGTTGGTGGGGTTTCTCTTTGTTTTTGTTATTGTCTCTTTTGCTGTGCAGAAGCTCTTTAATTTGATGTAGTCCCAGCTGTTTATCTTTGCCTTCACCATCACTGCTTGGGGTGATGTGTCTGTAAAGATGTCTTTGATGTGCATATCACGTAGTGTTTCGCCTTTATTTCCTTCTATGTATTTTATGGTTTCAGGTCTTATGTCTAGTTCTTCAATCCATTTTGAGTTGATTTTTGTGTATGGTGTGAGGTAGTGGTCAAGCTTCATTCTTTTGCATGTAGCAACCCAGTTTTCCCAGCACCATTTATTGAACAAACTTTCTTTGCTCCAATGCATAGTCTTTGCTCCTTTGATCCTTGACTCTCTTTATTATGGCAATTTGAACTCTACCTGATAGTAAGATACGATCATCCATATCTTTGTAGTTGCATATTGCAGAGTTGGTCTCATCTTGTGATATCATGTTCCCTTGAGATCTCAAGTTTCTGAGGCTTATTTTGCTGCTTTACATTTCCTATTTTTCAAAAAATGCATCTGTAGTGGTAACTTAGAGAGTTCAACTACTTGTGCTTTCCATCAGGTGACCATGTTATTTTTTTAAGACTTGTAATTTATGCAGAACTAGAGACCTGATCCTTGAGATGCTGACTCAGAGACTGTGGGGCCTGCAGTCATCCAGCCTCTAGGGTGGGTGCTCTGGCTGGGGCGCGTGAGCTCATGTTTGTGGCTCCCCTGCCACCCGCCTCTCTCAGTTCAGCCCTGAGACTCTCCCTGTGCACACTGTCCCTGAGCTTCAGGAGGGCAGGGCCAGTCCTGAGAGAGTAGTGGGGGTGCATCCAGCTCTGTGCCTTGTTTCTTCACTGGGAACCTTGTTAGCTGGGAGCCCCCATCAGAGCTGTGAACCCCTCACTGTCAGCTCTCCCTGCCCAGGGTCACGTGCCTGTTTGAGTGACCACCACAGCATGTGCTGAGCCTCCTCCATTCTGACCACAGCCTCCAGGTGTCTCTCTATGCCTACCTCTTGCTCAGTGAAGCATGACTCTCCTCTGTGTCCCTTTTGTCGCTGTCTGCCTGGTGACTGCTGTATGAGAGTGTCCAGTTTTGTCGCAAGCCTGGTGTTCTCTGGCTGCCCTGTTCACTCATTCGCATTGATGATCCTCTGTGCAATGAAACAGATTTCTCAGGCACCTTCTTAGTCCCCCAAGAACTCTTTTGAAATGCACATTCTTGGGTACATCCCAATCTGCTGCATCAGGCCTGAGGTAGGGTCCTGGCATTTTACAATTACAAGCCCTCCTGATGATAGTGATGGTCAAGGTGAGAACCAGGGAGTTAGCATTTTTTATGGAAGGTCCTGCTATCAGGTACACTAGTGAGTGAGGGAGCATCTTTGACATTATTTCTGGACCACAAGTTGTGGTTGGAAGATCTTTCCCAGATTCAGAATTGTCACTGCTAATCCTTCATTTCAGCTGTCTGCTCATCAGACACCTTCCCTCAGTCTTCCTGGGCCTCCCCCAGTGATGGTGTGTGTTCCCTGATATGACTGTGTCTCTCAGCCTTTCTAACTCCCATGTCTGTGTTCACAGAGAGGTTCCGTGTGTTTGGCCCCCCAGGCCCCATTGTGGCAGAGCTGGGTGAGGATGCCACACTGCCCTGCTCCCTGGACCCAGTCATGAGTGCAGAGAACATGGAGTTGAGGTGGTTCCGGTCCAGTACCTTCGAGTCAGTGTTCACCTATCAAGACAGACAGGAACGACATGAGATGCTAATGGCCCAGTACGCAGGGCGGACCTCACTGGTGGGGGAATTCCTCCATGTGGGGAAAGCTGCTGTGATCATCCACGAGGTCCAGGCTGCTGACAATGGGCTGTACACCTGCTTCTTCAGCAACGGAGTGTTCCATGAGCAAGCCAGCTTGGAGCTGCAGGTGGCAGGTTGGTGACATGTTAAATATCTCAGAGTCCTGGAGTTCTGGAATTGGGGGAGAAAATAAGGGCAATGCAATTTAGTTTTTCATGTTATTTATGAGTAAGAAAAGGCTTATTCATTCATGTTTTATGAAATGTAAATATCCAGGGTCCCTACCACATGTCTGGCCCTATTCTAAACTCTTAAATATAAAAGCAAATCTAATAAAGTTCTTTACTCTGTGAGTTTATATTTGTAGTGGGAGAGGGAACAGTCATAATAAATAACCAGGGCATAAATGACTCAAAGTGAGAAGGGATGAGGACAGGAAGCTAAATGGAGCAGGGAATTGGGTGAGAAATGTGGGGCTGGGGCTGAGGGGAGGTTCCTAATAAACAGTAGCTCAGGCTGGGGCCGTGGGAGCAAAGACTCCAGGGAAGTGGGAATACAGCTGAGTAGATATCTGATGTGTGGGGGTTCCTTTCTCCCCAGTATATAGACAGATAATTACTATATATTATATGTAATGTGAGGCATACAGCATAATGACTGATTTATATATACAGTGAAGTGATGGCCACAATAGGTTAAATCACATCTGTCAGCTATTATAGGTTTCATAAAAAGAAAGAAAATGAAGCAAAAGGGAAAATTTCCTCACTGTGAAAAAAAATTCTTTGGAGTTTGTCTTTTAACAACTTCCCTACATGTCACACAGCATGTTGGCTACAGGCATGTTGTACATCACAGGGAAGGAATTTCTACTTGTAGGCACAGCCCGTGTGAATGACCTGGGGGGAGCGTGTGTTTGGTGTGTGATCTGCTCACATGGAGTCCTCATGGCTGGTAGGAGAGAGTGAGGGGCAGGGTGTTGTGAGGTGACAAACTCTCATAAAAAAATGTGAGCGCATGGCAGAGAGGTCAAGGGTGGCTGATGAATGCTCCCAAAGGTAATCGTAAAAACCTCCATAGGATGTAGATATTTGAGCTGGGATGTCATTTTATCTAACAGGTTCTATAAAGCCCTCAGATCAGATGCAGAAGGGAAGATGGAGTCCACAGGGCCTGGTGATTGTGGGCAACAGCAGTTAGATTCTTTAGTTTGGGGTGCTGCGCCTTGGAGGCACAGGTGTAAAAGTATGAGCACTGCAGAGAGAAGAGGCTGGGAAGGAGTCACAGATGAGGAGTCCTGGTGTGCATGTTGTGGTATTTGCATGTGGAGCTGTTGGAGATTTTCAGCACAGCAGTGCTTAGCATGTGACTCAGGCAGCAGTGGGGAGGACAAGGGCGGGGACAATATCTGGAGTTGTGGATGCAGTTACGGGGTGGAGGGGGGGCTGGTTCACACAGTGGCGGTGGATGCTCAGGAGGTGCCCTCAGTGAGGTTCAGAAATAACCCAACTGAATGGGGAGAATTGGGTCACAGAATTTAAAGTGGAAGAAGGCTTTGTAGAGTCTGTGTGATATTTAATGTCAGGAACATTAATAATGTGTATCAGTTGCCTGTCACCATAGTGCTGCTGTGTAACAAAGAACCACAGACAAAATCTCTCAGTGGCCTCAGTGGACTTGTATTCATGGGCTGGAGGGGACTTCAGCTAACCTGGCATGGACTTGACTACTCTCCACTGAACTTCCTCCTACATTGTTTGGTCAGATGAAAATGTCATCAAGTGGACTTTGGCTGGGCTTGTAGCATGAATGCTCATGGGCTCCTGGCTGGGGAGCGTGACCTGTTCATCCTGGCTGAGGGAGGAGCTTCAGGGGAAAGGCTGGTGGCAGACCCTGTTCCGCATGAACTACATTGTCTTCCATGGAGATGGCAGAGGGAAGACCAAGGGCCAGCACTTTAAACCTCTGCTGAGTCACATGAGCTGATCTCTCCTTAGACACATGAAGTCACATGACTGATCCCAGAGTCAGAGTGTGAGTAAAATGTACATGGCAGAGTGTGAGCCTGATATGAAAAAGGGTGAAGAATTAGGAACATTTTTTTTTTTTTTTTTTGCTAATTTACCTCAGATGAGACAACAGCATGAGTTCAGGTGTAGAATTTAGGATGTGAAGAGCATGTGAGGAATCCTGGCAGATGTAACCCACAGGGATGGGGCTATCAGGGAGGGACATGAGGAGGCTGGTGAGGTGATATCTGAAAGTGATGCATGAGGAGACACAGGAGCTGAGGGGGAAGAAGCCCTGGGAGAGGGTGTGAGATAAGATGGGGCTTTAAGAACTGGACCCTGGGACTGTGCTGCCTTCAAGGAGCAGGTGCAGGGAGAAAAGTCAGGAAAGGGCTCAGCAGGGGTCCAAGTTACAACAAGCCACCCTCAGAGGGAAGTGACCAACCCAAGATGGAGGTGGTTTCAAGATGAGGTCAGGAGTGTCCTGAATGAAGGGAGACTGGGTGAGGGGACTTTGGAGACTGGGGTTGACAAATGGGAGACTTTTGTTGAATCACCCAGAACAGAATGGACTAGAAGGATAAGCTGCACTATGGAGGCTGAGATGTTGGTGAGAAATGAGAAAATACAGTTGTTTATGGATTATAAGGTGTACTCTTCCAACAAGATAAGAATTCTATAAAGATTTGAAACATGTTTATATCATTATAAAAATAATAGGTAGAAAGGTAGAGATGAACATATCTTGTCATTGTCTTGGTCTAGGTCTCTCCCAGACTTCTCAGAGTGCACCTTGACAGCCTCACCTGGAGGTGTGCACATGTGGGCCTGCCCCACCTGTCTCTCATCTTCTCTCTGCAGTTGTGGGCTCTGCCCCCAAGTGCACATCACGGGGCCAGAGGAGGATGGGGTACGCGTGGTGTGCACGGCCTCGGGCTGGTTCCCAGAGCCTCAGGTGCAGTGGAGACAGCCCCGTGGGGAGCAGTTCCTGGAGTTCTCCAAGGTCCAGGCACAGGACACTGAGGGCCTGTTCAGTGTGGAGGCCGCTCTGGTGGTGAGAGACAGCTCTGCGGGGAGCGTGACCTGTTCCATCCTCAACCCTGTCCTGGGTCAGGAGAAGGTCATGGCCATTGTCATCCCAGGTCAGCACATCTCCTCTTCCCCATTCCCTGCAGGGGCGGGGGCCAGCACCCCCGGGGTACTGGGCTGGGATGTCTTGGGCTGTGTCCTGATGGGGTCTCTGTGGGGTCTCTTTCTGCAGAGCCCTTCTTCCCCGGGCCTCTCCTGGAAGCCAGCTTTCCTGGTGAGCCTGCCTTGCTGCTGCTCCTCCTCTGGGGGCTGCCTGCTACACCCAGAGAGAACATTCCACACAGATGCGGGAGCTGCAGGAACAGATGAATCTGTGTGGGGC